TGATAGAATGAATCTTGGGATGTGGATTCCCTTTGGCTAAGATGGCCAGAGGCAGATGCGACTCCTGCTGGGTAGGCAGGTGAAGATTCGAGGTGTAACACCCCACTTCACACAATTACATATAAACATAAAATTTATTCAAAAGAGATATAAATTACACCACATCGGTCCCATTGGACAAGAAACTTATAAAAAATTACACAATCCAAAAATTTGAAAACAATTTCTTGCACTTTCACATGTATCTTCAAAAATACATCCATCCACATGTTAATCTTCATATAGTTAAACATATAGGAAAAGAATTATATTTTCCCATTCTCTTTTCTATCATGTAACCTTGTTGTTCTTGTAATGCATATTTTAAAATACAAAATGAGGGTTAGACATGTTGGTCTAGTGAGATATCCCTTTTTTTTGGCAATTGCAGGATGAAGATCACCAAAACTTATTTAAAATCAACTTTTCATATAAATAGAATCATGATCTCTAAAATTTGTATCACGTATAAAATACAGTGTAAAAATCATCTCGTTCAATTGGTCAAACTCCTCACGTTCTTAATGACCAACATCCTTCTAGTTCTAAAGACCAGAACTGTTTAAGGGACAACTCTGTTATTAGACATAAGGGCCAGAGCCTTTCTGGTCCAACGACCAGAGCTTCTGGTCTTACCAACCAGAGTACCTCTGGTTTGCCTAACAGAGATAAAGAATTATCAAAACAACTTGAACAATATTTGAATTCCTCATATAACCAGAGGTCCTCTAGTTAAATATGAGTTTCAACTTGAGCTCCTCTGTCTTACTTTGCCAAAGGATTTTCATGTTATAGTTTCTTAATTTGTATAAGAGAAAGAAGTAAAAAACAATTTATAGTTGATGTATAATTTTTGATTACGAATACAGAGCCTCTGCATAGTACATGCAGAACCTTTGGTTCTAAATAAAGGTTTGAAACAAAATCAAGAACTTTTTATCATAACCAAAGGTCATCTGGTTGACCCTAAAGATCAACCTAAAATTCCTCTGATCTAGGTTAAAGAACAACCAGAGCCCCTCTGGTTCCATACAAGGAACAACCAGAGCCCCTTTGGTTCCACATAACTCTTCTCAACATTTTTAATCAAAAGCACATTTAATTAAAACATCTCGCTATAAACCATTTTCCCTTCTCAATAGCATCATTGCCATTATTTCAATAAGAGCAATATTTCTAAGTCTTCAAGTCACAAAGAAATGTTGACTTAGAACCATATTATTCTATGAATATAACAGTAAGAGCTATGATTATAACCACACACAACAAATGCCACCCTTATATTCAAAGGTACACATCTCCTTGATATGTCACCCTTATCCCAAGGTACACCTCTCCTTGATATGCCACCCTTATTCCATCATCAAAATCTACCGATAAATCTATAGACTTTTGCCAATAACAGTTTCATATCAAAAGCTTTGAAACTCAAGAACCATTAGTTCTTTAGTCCATTTTCTAATTTCAAAATCCTTATTCTTTCAAAAATTGAATACTCATTTCAATTGTTTCGAAAGAATCAGAAAAACAGATTTAAACCCAGATTACTAATACTCATATCAACTTGTCAAAACAGTTTGCTTTTTACCTTAAAACATCAACCAAAATTCATATATTTCAACTATCAACCAATAAGAAATTTTAATAAAAAACACACCTCATATGCACGTATTTGAAGATGAATCACACAACAGTTAATTTAATTAATCATAGAATCTTTTTCAAACGACTTTATGCAGAAACTCTCTCTTTCAAGAACACACACACACTCATCGCCGTTGTCTTTTCTTTTTCACAAGATAAGTAGGATAAGATAGATATTATCCCACTTTTATATATATATATATATATATATATTTTATGAAGGCTGTGCAGATTATTATTTTAAAACTCACAAAAGACGGTGGAAGTTTTTTTTATATTATAAACCTCTTTCCAAAACCCTCATCCATAATTATGGATATACACACCTCATAGACTTGCGTAATTTTAATTTATGTACACACAGGAGGAGGAGGAGGAGACGAATAATCATTTGCTTTCATTTTGAATTTGTTACATAATAACATTCATTAAATTATCCATTTTCTTAAGAAATGTATTTAAATTGGTCAATTTCAATCATTTTAATATAAATGGGTTAAAATTGGCAATTGCCACCTCTGTGTTTAACTCTCACCTGAGGGTGAACAATTGTGAGCCATTTCTAATATACAAGGTCCATTCTATACCTTTTTCATATGGCTAATTGAATGTTTTCAGGCATTTGGTTTAGCACTAGGGCTGACCGTTCTTGGGGCTCAAATGACCCAAATGTCGTTGCTTAGGAGCGTACACGAGTTGACGTGGACGGTTTGAGTCATTTAAAAAACCCAACCCTTTGCTATCATTTTGTGTCTGATTTTTGGTGACTTACGAAAATTGTCCATCACTAGATTTAATCCTATACATGTAACAAATATGTAATATTGAAGTGCTGATACACAAGTACTTACAAAACAAACAAGCAAGCTTTGCTTACAAAAAATGAAAATATGTTTACATACCAACACTCATGTTTGTTGTTTCATCTAACCACAATATATATATACATACATATATATAAGGAATGTAGTTCGATTTTAATGATGCAAAGTCGGCAAGGTAAAGCCAATTCTAAGAAGTAACCGACACATTCTCACATTTGATATCCCCTGCAAAAATATTTACATTACACCACTGACCACAAAAAACAGTAGAAAAGAGCTATAATTAAGCTTATTATTGCTTGGTTAATATAGTCTGTTAAAAAGTCTCACTACAATGTTTTCTATCATTTGTCCTTGGTGAACGGAACCAATTTAAGTACTCGATTTATATTCAATGTAATATCATTTTATATATTTATGCCATCTTTTTTTACAACTCTGTTATAGAATTAGCAGCTGCAGCAAAGTAGTGTCTCAACATGCAACACGTGAAAATAGAAGTAGCATAATGATATATTGTTGCCAAATTATAGCTGCATGTCCACCAAAACAACTAACAAATTAGTTGTTGTCTGGACAGTTGAGAGTCGGTTGTTGTATTCAAAGGCAGAAGCTCTTGAATTGAGAAGAAATCCAATCCCAGCAAGATTCAAGCTTCAAGCATCTCGATTCAAGTTTTCATTGAATATTTGGATCCATTTATGACTAGCATCTTGTGGTTCTTTGTTTCTTCCATTTTTCAGTGTTTGTACAAGTTATGTCAATTTTTTAATTACTTCCGAATTTGTACCTAGCATCACAATTCGAAGCTTAATTTTCTTCGCTTACTTTTGTTATGACAATGAATAAAGTTTAGGTATTTATCTACCGTGATAGGTATTCTTACTCGATTAGGGTGAATTGTTGTATGTGATGTTGTTTTGATGAACTAAAACCTTACACGGTAAGGCAAGTGATAGTGTTGAATCTTACGGGTAAGCGCTTACCGGGCATGTTTGGGTGAACAACAACTTAGTTACCAAATATCAGGCTTTTCCATTCACGTGTGCAATTATTTTTCCATTCGATCTTGCTAATACATCATATTAACCTTCAACTTTATATATTAGTTGACTTGCAAAATAACCACACAAACTCATGATTCAAGGCTAAACTAATGTTTCATAATTGTGATTCACCCGTGCTGCATCGCGCAGGTACACCACTAGTATATATTTTATGAAGGTTGTGCAGATTATTATTTTAAAACTTAGAAAAGGCGGTGGAATTTTTTTTTATATTATAAACCCTTGTCCATAATTATGGATATACACACCTCGTAGACTTGCGTAATTTTAATTTATGTACACACATACATCATCATAAACCATATATGCAATCTTGCATACATACGACATTTATCAACACCTCATGCATTCATATATGCATATTATTTATCTCATAAAAATATGAACACTTTCACAAATTCAAATAATAACCATATAAGAATTACCTCTAGTGCTTTTGCCAAAACCATATGTGCGCCTTTTTTTCAATGATCCTTGTTGCTCAACCAAATTGATTAGGTTATGTGCTTGCACTGGGAGTTGGGCTAGAAACATAAATGTGACTACTTTATTAGTTGTGGCTCTAGGAGCTTCAACTTCAGCTTCATGGGAAGTTGGATTTTCATCAACGACCTCAACTTTTTTAGTTGTGGCTCTAGGAGCTTCAGCTTCGGTTTGAGTCATTGGGATAGTATTAGCAATAGCATTTAACTCTATCTCCCCCTCTTTTTCATCAACATGATATTCAAAGAAGTTGTCAATAGTTCTTGTCAAGTTTTCCACCATCTTTTCAAGCTTTGTCAGCGCTCTGGTTCGAAGAAGACCACACTCAAGAGTCTGATTCAGCTGGAGGCACTCCATCACTGTGAATGACAGTGTAGGTGTTGGTTTTGGACGTTGGAGGAGCTCCAATATCTGCTGCATCAGCTCATCATGCTTGGAAAGTTGGGCATTCACTTCATCGGCCTTGCTGGTTAGAGTAGAGATGGCCTTAGCATTGGTGCGTATGGTTGCTTGCATCGAAGCGAGCTGTTCATTGACCTCTTTAACTTTAGCTTTGACAGCTGAGAGTTCAGTAGAAACTTCATCCCTGACAGGCATGCCCTTATGGACTTCGTTCATTTTAATAAGGATAGTCTCCATGGTGGAGAGTATTAGCTTCACGTCGTCAGCCATGTTGAAGTTTGAGTTCTTCCTCAGCCTTGAGTGCCTCAAGTCATTTAGCTTCAGACAAGAAGTCAAACTCACCACAACTAGAGGTACGAAGAGGGATTTTTACTCTAGTTTGGTCGAGTGACTCCTTCAACTGAGACATATGCTGTTCGGAAGAAACGCTGGAGGTTGGGTTTTCAAATACTCATTCCTCTAGCCGACCACAAGTAGTAGAGGCGATGGAAGAAATTTTACAGAAATAAGTAATAATGGCAAACTTGGAGAATTCAAATACTTAAAGGCTCAACAGGTTTGAAGAGTACATTAGATCTCCTTTTTCAACAACACCTTTGTCTTTCGATTTGGTGTTTTGGTTCTTCTCAGAAGTACCCTTCTGTTTTTCTTTCTCTTTCTCCCCTTGGGATACAGAATCCATGAGAGAGACTTCTTTCACGGTACTGGCGGGTTTCGACTACTAAATGGTGAAGTCGTCATCATCGTCATCTTCATCGTCATCATCGTTGTCTTCATCATCATCATCACCAAGATCCCTTCCAGCATCATGAAGGGTGGTAGAATTATCATCTTCATCGTCATCGTGTTCATCATCATCTTCCTTATCACAAGCGTCAACTGCAGGGGGGACAATATGGTCTTCGTCATGAGCTTCAGCATCAGCTCCGACGGTTTCATCAACAACCTCAGCTTCAGAAGCTTCATGGGAAGTTGGATTTTCATCAAGGACCTCAACTTTATTAGTTGTGGCTCTAGGAGCTTCAGCTTCAGTTAGAGTCATTGGGATAGTAGCAGCAACAATATTTAACTCTATCTCCCCCTCTTTGTCATTAGCATGATATTCAAAGAAGTTGTCAAGAGTTTTTGTCAAGATTTCCACCATCTTTTCAAGCTTTGTCAACGCTCTGGTTTGAAGAAAACTACACTCAAGAGTCTGATCCAGTTGGAGGCAATCCATCGCTGTGAATGATAGTGTAGATGATGGTACTGGATGTTGGAGGAGCTCCAGTATCTGCTGCATCAGCTCACCATGCTTGTAAAGCTGGGCATTCGCTTCATTGGCCTTGCTGGTTAGACTAGAGATGGCCTCAGCGTTGGTGCGTACGGCTGCTTGCACCAAAGAGAGCTGTTCGTTGACCTATTTAACTTCAAACTTGACAGCTGAGAGTTCAGCAGAAACTTCATCCCTGAGAGGCATGCCCTTATGGACTTCGTTCATTTTAATAAGAACATTCTCCACAGTGGGGAGTATCAGCTTCACATGTCAGCCATGTTGTAATCTTCTTCCGTTGCTGGCGTTCCTTCGTCGCAAGGACCTGAAAAGGAAAAAGTTTGAGCATAAGATAGCTCGGGGTTAGAAGAAATGAAGAGGTAGGATAGAGGACTACCAGAGGGTTCATCAACACCATCTGAAGGATTGATGCTGGTTCACTCAAGGTTGCCTTCAGGGTCAGTGATGGGTGCTTCATCATGAGGGAGGATAGTCGCTGATGACTCATAAGCATGTGTAGTGACCAAAGAAGAAGGATAAGAGAAAATGACCGAGATTGGTGGACGTGGGTGTTCAGTAGTGGCCATGTTGATATCCACACCATCAGTGATTTGGTCACTGAGGCGATTGGGATTGGAGCCACAGGTACGACAATGATTGTTGAAATCACTTAAGAGATTGGAGGAGACCAAGTTGAATGTGCCTCGGGGGTAAGGCTAGTTTCAATAGTTGAAACCTTTTGAGAGGTAACAGTCAGAGACTGTTGCTCCCGTTAGGGTCTACAAGATGTGTATAATAGTTTTTTGAATGGGGATGATGAATATAAACGCAGTAAACTTTTCAAATTTAAAATATATATTGATAAAAAAGGATCAATACAGATTTTACAAGATTGTTTGTGGAAAGCTAAGATAAATAAAGCTATCTAAACAATCTAGGTTACAAACTTGTTCTTAGCAAATAGAGAAAAGATTTTGTCTATAAGACTTAGAAGGATGTTAGTTCTTTCTGGGTAAGAACTATTTAGAATACAAACAGGGTTTCTAACTTATTTTTGAAGATAAGTGTATTGTGTTCTAGATGGGTGTTTCTTTACTTATGATCGTAAGTTAGGGTTTAAGAGTAAGTATTCATTATCTCTACGTGGAGATATCTATTTTTACCCATTGCATTAAATACACATTTAATGCAATGTAGTAGGGTTTGAACACGTGTCAAGTCTTTAAAGAAAGACTTGTCCTTTGCTACATTGAATAATACAAAAGCCTATTCATGAGCATACATTCTTTCATAAAGTAGGTGGGTTGTAGAGTCCACTAATCGGCTCCGTACCGTACTATAATTTAGAAGGGGTATGGGTTTGTCCTTTGTGTGTATAAGGACAAGAAAAAATCAATTGTGCCCAACAAGCATCTTTTGATCGCTGAATGCTGGAATAACCTGAAGGTCTCTTCACCATTCGTTGAGGCTTGGGAAGTCTTCACTGTTAGGACTGAAAAATCAGTATTAATTGTATTCGTCTTGAAAGTTAAATATAGTCTATAATTGTAAAAGTCAGCGTGTTTGACTTTCTTATAGAAGTTTGACTTTGACTATTGTTTAGTATGTTGACCATATAAATAGTAGGTGGTCTTTGTAATTAGAGAGAGGAGAGCTTATTGTAATAATACGTACAAAAAGAGAGGTTTGACTGAATTGTAAGGATTGACTTTTTCTCTCTACGTTCTTATGAATGTTTTTGAATGCAATATCAAGATTCTGCCATTGTTGTGAAGATATGAAGATTGATCAGTGATTTATAGGGACAAAGAATTGGTATCAAAGCATGTTTGCAAGAAATCAGATGAAGAAATCAAAGATAAGTGAAGAATTTATTTTCTGATTTTTTTTGTTCTTCGTGTTCTTGGTTTTTTTTTATTTGATCCGACTTTTTCATAAAATCTTGTGTTTTCGTGTTATAAATAGAATCAAAATGCTTGAAATTGAATTGTGAATGTTTGTTATTCACAAACTTTTGTGATTTGATCAATTTTAATCAAGATTTAATCGGATTTTGTGTTTTTAGAATTTTTTCGTGTTCTTGAATTTTTTTTTAAACCAGTGTTTTTGATCCATTTTTTTAAAAAGTTTTTCTGTTTTTGTGTTTTTGATAAGTTTTGATTTGGTTTTAATTTTGAATCTCTTATTTTCTTTGTTAATCCGTCCAATTTCAAAAAGCCCATCCGGTTTAAGTTTGGCCCAACAAGCTAATCCGATCAATTAGCTTTCTTGTTCTTGTCCAATAGGCTAAATCACATACTTTCCTTGTAATTGTTTCTAAATCGCAGGCTTCATTCAGTTTGAGCGGATAAAAGGTAAACCGCACACCACTTGAGCGGAGAAGAGATTACACCGCACACCTCTTGACCGGATTATTCTCCGGTTTGATTCAAAGCTTCAATCGATTTCTAGTCTTAGTCTAAACCGCACAAAGCATCAACGGGTTACTTGAGCGGAGTCATAGAAGACTTGAGCGATTTAAGCTAGTCCGTACATCATCCCATCGGATTCGCACAAATCAGGTAAGTCTCAGGTTTAGGTTTTCAATTTTGAACGGTTTATACCTAAACCGATTACCTCTTGAACGGATTTGTGACCAGATTAGGTTTACTCTTGACCGGTTTAGGACTTGGTAATCAGTGCATCGAGGTGTCCGGACTTCTAAACCGCTCAATTCCACTTACCCAGATTCTTGATTGTTCATTGTTTCTTAATTCAATTTGGTTCAATATCTTGACAATAATTGATTCAATTTTAACTGTTTTCATTGGGATTCTTAATTGTTCAACAGCTATTTGTTTGTCTCTGATTATCTATGTTTCAAGGTACTTGATCTAATTTCGATTTCAATCAAGCACAATCTTTGTTGGTATGTGGATTTCATCATCATAGCTTMTGTGGTAAGTTGCTTGCTGTTTAACAAACCTGTTTTGAGCATTTCTAATCTGTTTAACATCAATTTGTTGTTGGTGAGGTTACTGTTGGTGAGGTTGGTGAGGTTGAGCATTTCTAATCTGTCAATTTGCTGTKGAYAGATTTATATTGTGCTGTCAGTTTTACTTGAAGTATCAGGTTTTAGACTGTTGTGTTGTCAGGTTTAGACTCTTATGCTTTCAGGTATAAGATTTGCTTGTTGTCCGGTTTAGCCTTGTGCTATGTCTGATTTACATTCATAGTTGTGTCCGGTTTAAGCTTCAAGTCTTGACAGGTTTAAGTTTCAAGCCTTGACAGGTTTAATATTCAAACTGACAGGTCTAGACATTTGCAGTGTGCGGTTTAGTAATAAGCAGTGACAGTGTGCAGGTGACAGGTTGATATCAAGCTCTGTTAGGACTGAGAAATCAGTATTAATTGTATTCGTCTTGAAAGTTTAAAAATAGTCTATAATTGTAAAAGTCAGCGTGTTTGACTTTTCTTTAG